TTCAGACCTGTAGAATGATGAATACACATGTACTGTCTAACGCTATTTAGAAGTTTCAGTCTTAGTTTGCATGAACGAGGAGTCTACATGTGTAGTGCAGCTTCAGCCACTAGAGGGCCTTCTTTACACACGGGGCACCTGTTTATATTTTTATTTTTTTCAGGTTGAATAAATTTTGTTCTTTATTAAAAAGGGAAGATTGAGTATCGTGGCTAATATTAAAAAATTTGGCCACCACTTACCTCTATAACAATGTGGTTCTCAGTGTGAAGCCAGCCAGTCCAGTGAAGCGATCCCACAGGAAAGACGATGTGGATGAGGATCTGTATCCAGAGTATTACAGGAAGTCCTCAGACTACATCAAGGGCTCAAACCTGGACGCTCCTGAGCCCTTCCGTGTTGGGCGCATCAAGGAGATCTTCTGTCACAGGCGTAGCAATGGGAAACCCGAGATGTCAGACGTCAAACTGCGACTCTACAAGTTCTACAGGTAAAAACTGTTAACAGTTAACATGGGTTGCTATAAATTGGACAAATTTTAAGACTTTAACAAATTTTATCTTCTTTTCCAGGCCTGAGAACACACACAAAGGTGTCAAAGCTAGTTACCATACAGACATCAATCAGCTGTACTGGAGTGATGAAGAAGTGACCGTAAACATGGGTGACGTACTCGGCCGCTGCCAGGTAGAATATGCAGAGGACCTGAATGAATCCATCCAGGACTACTCCAGTGCTGGACCTGAGCGCTTCTATTTTCTTGAGGTACAGTACTTTCTTTCTACTGTAAACTCTAATCATCTATTTATCAATTCATCAAAAACAATTTCTTGTAATGACAACCCCACGTGCATAGAAGAAAGCAAAAACAGTTGACATGGTAGATTTTGTCTAATACTGGAACATTTATTTGGAAAAGTCTTGAACATGTCTTCAATTCAGTGTAGAAACTGCAGTCTTATTTCCATACTGTGCCTCCTTCACAGGCCTATAATGCAAAGGCAAAAAGCTTTGAGGATCCCCCAAATCATGCTCGTTCAACTGTCCATAAAGGAAAAGGAAAGGGCAAAGGAAAAGGTAGAAATTGTATTTATTTTTTCCTTCAAAAATTGATTTTTAGTAGTCTCTGAAATCCTAATGTATTAAATTTGGTTTCCCAAGGTAAAGGCAAAGGAAAAGCTTCAGCTGCACAGGAACAGCCGGACTCACAGCCTAAACCTAAAGTGCCCAAGTATCGCACATTGGATGTGTTCTCTGGCTGCGGTGGACTTTCTGAGGGATTCCACCAGGCTGGTAAATGTTGCAACCCACTCACAAAATGTTTTCAAATCATCTTTTTTGTTTGTTTGTTTTGGGACTGCAGTAAAAAAACGTAACAGCTTGTTTCCTTTAGCAATCTCGGAGACCCTCTGGGCTATAGAGATGTGGGAGCCAGCAGCACAGGCCTTCAGACTGAACAACCCAGGCACAACGGTGTTCACTGAGGACTGCAACATCTTGCTAAAGTTGGTCATGTCTGGAGAGAAAACAAATTCTCTTGGCCAGAAGCTGCCTCAGAAGGGTGATGTGGAGATGCTGTGTGGAGGGCCTCCTTGTCAAGGGTTTAGTGGGATGAACCGCTTCAACTCTCGCACTTACTCCAAATTCAAGAACTCACTTGTTGTCTCCTATCTTAGGTTGGTTCGCCTAAAGTCATCAACTTTCGCCGACACTGTGCAGCAAGTTTTTTTGTTTCCCACAAAAACTCTTAACCTCGCATTAATAGGTTTTTTTTTTGGTTTTTTTTTAAATTATTATTATTTGTTTCTTCTTATTGCAGCTACTGTGACTACTACAGACCCAAATTTTTCCTGCTTGAGAACGTGAGGAACTTTGTGTCATTCAAAAACTCTATGGTCCTGAAGCTCACACTGCGCTGTCTTGTGCGAATGGGATACCAGTGTACCTTTGGTGTCTTGCAGGTGGGTCAGACCTTAAACTTCTTTTCTGCTGTGAAATTTTGGGTGAAGCTAAAATGAAAGTGACTTGGAAAAAATTTCAGAGCTTGTGTTGTTAACCAACAGCTTGCTATAAGGTTTTTCTTTTCTTCTCATACAATAAAGGATCACTAATGCGCTGCGTTCTGCTCTCATTAGGCCGGTCAGTACGGTGTTGCTCAGACCCGGCGCAGGGCCATCATCCTGGCTGCTGCTCCGGGAGAGAAGCTGCCACGCTATCCTGAGCCTCTGCATGTGTTTGCCCCCAGAGCTTGCTCTCTCAGCGTTGTGGTGGGTGAAAAGCGATACGTCAGCAATGTCACACGGTAATGTAAACACTTTCCCCTTCTGGGTTGCTTATATTGTATTTTTAGGTTGCAAATCTTTCTCGCAAGACATTAAAGCTTCATTGTCACTAATTTCTGTCTACAGAGGCAATGGTGGAATCTACAGAACTATCACTGTCAGGGATACCATGTCTGACCTGCCAGAGATTCGCAATGGTGCAGCTGCACTGGAGATTTCCTACAATGGGGAGCCCCAGTCTTGGTTCCAGAGGCAGATCAGAGGCACACAGTACCAGCCTATCCTCAGAGATCATATCTGCAAGGTGAGTTGTGGTGTTCTCATGTTGGCTCACTCTTTCAGTCATTAAAGAATAACTTTATGACAGAAGTTACATGATCTGCATTACAGGATATGAGTGCACTGGTTGAGGGTCGGATGCGTTACATCCCCTTGGCTCCAGGCTCCGACTGGAGGGATCTGCCCAACATCGAGGTGCGACTGAAGGATGGCACCCTGACTAAGAAACTGCGTTACACACATCATGATAAGAAGAATGGGCGTAGCGGCACCGGTGCACTCAGAGGTGTTTGCACCTGTGCAGGAGGTATGCAGGACTTAAAAAAAAAAAGTTGTAGAGCTTAAATCTCCATCTGGGATACATCTCTTATAGTTTCCATGCAAATGTCTTTTTAGGTAAGCCTTGTGACCCTGCAGACAGGCAGTTTAATACCTTGATCCCCTGGTGTCTGCCCCACACTGGGAACCGCCATAATCACTGGGCAGGACTCTATGGCAGGTTGGAATGGGATGGTTTCTTCAGCACAACAGTCACCAATCCTGAACCAATGGGCAAGCAGGTACGCAAGTTTATTTTTTGTTTGTTTGTTTTTTTCAGTTTGTTTACATTAAACATTCCTTCAAATTTATTTAATATAGGAGTGAAAAAACAGAGTACTTGCATTTAAGTCTTAAGCTAATTTGTGTTTCAGGAGATGGTTTACACTTCTTAAATGAAAGAAACTGACCTTAGGCTCTCTTGATTACAGGGCCGTGTACTCCATCCTGAGCAGCACAGAGTTGTCAGTGTGAGAGAGTGTGCACGCTCTCAGGGGTTCCCTGACACCTACCGCTTCTTTGGAAACATCCTGGACAAACACAGACAGGTACAATCTGGAATCACAATACTTAATCCCTGAGAAATTTTTGTGGTTACAGTTGCCACAAAGAAGGTAAGAGTGGCAACAGTGACTTTGCTACGAGTTTTAGTCACAATATTGTACGAGTCACGTGAGGGATGACTATTTTCTTTCAGGAGATGTCGCTTGGTCAGGCTTGCAGAGACATTGTAGCAGGAATCTAGCACAGTATAAACTTTGAAACTGCTTTGTTTTAGTACAGTTTTTATGTCTGTGAGAGGCAATAAATTTAGGTGATGGGGGATAAATTAATGTGTTGTTATTTTTGTTTGTTACATAAATGATAACAAAAATAAGCAGCATTTTAATTTTTGGCCTTTATCATCTTGGACCGAGTTGCAGTTCCAAAATGAAGATGTCTTTACTGCATTTCATGAGCTGCCCAGAAACATCTCTCCCTGCTTCTTGCCAAGTAATTGCTTCTGTTTCCTTCCAGGTTGGAAATGCTGTGCCCCCTCCGCTCTCCAGGGCCATTGGGCTTGAGATTAAGAGGTGCATCACGGAAAGGATGAAGGAAGAACAAGCATCAGGTGACTTTCAGTTTAATCGTATGATTATCTTTTAAGATTTGAATGCACCAATCCTTATTAAAGTGTGTGGTTTTGTTTTAATTTATTTTAACTTATTTATTTTTCCTCCACAGAGAACATTAAACAAGAGAAGATGGAGCTCTCTGATTAAGCGTGTAAAGATTTCATCAAGAATCACTTCTGCAAGTCCTGGTGCTGGTGAAATGATTTCTCTTAAAAGTTGCGATTTAATGGCGTCACCAAGTGGCCGCTATGGACTTTCTATGTAGTACCATTCCACATTGAGTTTTAAATGTGCTTTTAATCATGACGTTGTTGCTGTTGTTGTTAAATGTTCACCTAATGTGGGATAAATTGTATGTAGTTTTTATATGTAATATTTCAAATAAATCTTATGAAATTCTACTTGTAGTTTTCATTATTGTAAATGTACAACAAGTGTGATCAATATATCGGGAATCAAAGAAAGTGGTGCCAAGTGGTTGAAAAACCTCATCTCTTTGAATTCTGAAGCATTTTGTAAATGAACCTTAGATCAGTGGACACCAGATGTTAAAACATGCAGAGTTTGGTTTTTAACTGTTTAAAGTCTGACCTGTACTAAAACCTTTCCTTGAGCTGCTTGTTCCACAATCTTTGCTGTTACTGAATCTGTTTGGGGTTACAAATACATTAAAAAAGTAAATATACACAGGGGTCACATATTACAAGACTTTAAAATGCATAGATAAATCCTCCAAATGTCACTACTGGGTGTAAAATGTACTCCCTGATCATCTAAGAAACTTTGAAATGACAGCTTTTTAACTCATCCTGATAGACAGGAGACTAAAACGGGGGTCCCCAATCCCAGTCCACGAGGGCCGGTGTCCCTGCAGGTTTTAGATGCGTCCTTGATCCATCACAGCTGATTTAAATTTATAAATTACCTTCTCAACATGTCTTTAAATTCTCCAGAGGCCTGGTGATGAACTAATCATGTGATTCAGGTGTGTTGACCCGGGGTGAGATCTAAAACCTGCAGCCCTCGTGGACTGGGATTGGGGACCCTGCTCTAAAACCTTGTTGGCTTTGCAACCAACCTTGTAGCTGGCATGACAGTCATACAGAGAAGAAACCATATACTTGCTAGTGAAGCACTCATTGTAATCTAATAACTATTCATTATGTCAGTCATAAATTAGTACTTGTGGACTGTGATTTGAATCATTTTAAATTTGCACAGAGTTGTTTTCAGACTGTCTGCATTAAAATTCACAAAAATGGTACAAAAAAGTCCAGTAAGTGGAGCAGGGCTCCTTCCCTGTCTTGTAATTTGCAGAAGTACGAGTACAACAGACGCCGCAACTTGTCTGCAAGTGTGTGTGTGTTTTCTTTTTTTCTTTTCTTTAGTTTGTTGGTTTTTTGGGAGGGGCGGGGTTCTTCACAAGACTAGTTTGGCTTTTTTGAGTTCTCTTTTCTTGAACAGTACAGGCTAGAATAGATTTGCCACTGGCTAAAGAAGAGTTACTGTATCTGCATCTACCAAAATATCCATCTGTTAATCTCGGACTCAGGAGGAAAGTTCTGAACTTTGATGCACTTGTGAACACATCTGTTGAAGCCATGATGTGGCGGCCCTTCATCTTCAGCTGCTTAATCGCATGCACAGGTGGGTCTGTTTTGTTTGTTTGCTTGTTTTTGCTGTGCTTGTTGCTTTGTTATATAGTTACCATATTATATTTCTATAGTTTTAACACAACGTCCAGTTCCTCTTCAGGAGAAAACCTTCAACCACATTAGCACTGGTCTTAAGCATTTTACTTCTTCAGATTATCAGTTTAATTTAAATCCACTTTATGAAGTCATTATCTAAAATCTTTAGCATTTATCACTTGGAGTCTTTCTAGCATAAATCTGCTGCCTTTAAAGACAAACAAAAAAAAGCCTAGCAGCTGTTATATTGTAGATATTGTCCTATTATGTATTAAGTTGCAGGTCATTAGACATTTGACCAGAAGTCTTCAATCCAAATATGCTACAAATTGCTTCTTTCATTGCAATAATTCAATGAATGGATCATTATTTAGCAACTCTAAAGCAGCTAAAGTATTTTAGAGACTAAAGTGACCAAATTATATTATAATTTTATATTGGGACTTACTTTTAGTCTGTGTTTGTTTTTATTATATCTATAATTTTTCCTTTATCCTATTTTAAGACATTTAAAATATTTTTAGAAAATCTGTAATGTAATTTACTATGACTTATTCTTTATGCAAAAAAAGTACTTCGCCGTTTCATCTCACTTTCAACATTTAGTTTGTGCCTCAAGGCCTCTGTAGCTCCATCATTATCTCTTAACCTCCAAATCTTCCATTATGTTAAGTATCAGTAAAACTATGAATGTTGTAACAGAGGAATACAAACAATTTCATGGTTTTTACAATAAAAATATGTCCATCTATATTTTAAATCCAGAGTTATGAACAGTGTGATCAAAAATCAAACCACTCTTGAAAGTTAAATGGAACGTGTCACCTAAAACGGATCAGTATATTACAACCACCCAATTTGCAATATTGTCCATGCATCTATTCTTGTCCGCTTATCGTTATCAGGGTCACCTATCCCATCTGCCATAGGGTGAAAGCCAGGGTACACCTTGGACAGATCGCCAGTCTGTCGCAAGGCTGACACAGAGAGACAGGCAACCATTTGCACTCACATTAACATTCACCTAACTCAGATGGTAGAGTGAAACTCATCATACGCCTTAAGTCCCTTACTCCCAGTATTATTGTTTTATTTTATTTATTTATTTATTTTTAGGAAAGCTTGTGAGCACTTCATGTCCATTTGACATAACCCCTCCTAGAGTTGTGGTGAGATTTGGAGACTCCTTATCAGCAAACTGCACCTCACTATCTAACCACACTGATGGAATGGGATGGGAGTCTCCCTTTGGAGGAGTGGACTTTACCCAGGGTGTTTCTTCTCTTCTATTTAAAATTGACTCTGTGCCAGTGTGGGAGTTAGAGCCAATGTGTTATGTGAATTCCCGTGATGGTGATCAGTGTGTGAAATCATTGCCAGTCACTGTTTATAGTGAGTAGCCTTAACTTGGTCTAACATTTCTAAGAAGGTCATCGTTATTATATTTTCACTGATTAACTTTGAGTCATTTTATTATTTTAAAAAAAATTATTTTCTTTTTCAGAAATGCCAGACAGTGTGTCTCTGAAGAATTTACGTACAGTGGAAGAAGGCCGACAGTTTGTCATACAGTGTGATGTTGTTAATGTTGCACCAGCAAGAAATCTTTCAGTAGTTTGGCACAAAGGAAATAAGATCTTGTCTTCTCAGACATTTGAAGAGTCCAGTCCATCTCCAGTCAGTAAGTCATCTGTCATCACTCTGACTGCTCATAGAGATGATGATGGAGCTGAGATCTGGTGTGAAGCAAAGCTGAACCTGTGGCCAGAGGAACAAGGTCCTCCTCCAGTGCGTTCTGAAGCTCATAATGTGAATGTACTCTGTGAGTTTTTAACATGCTCTTAATTTAATCACCACAAGCTTTCATACTGAAAAAATGAGCTTTTCTTTATTTGTCTGTATTTTGATTGGATGTCCTCAGACCCACCAACTTTCACCAATAATCCAAATGAGAATTTGGAAATGACAGTTGGGAGCAAAATATCTTTAAATTGTACAGCTAAAGGAAATCCAGTACCATCCTACCATTGGCAGTTCCCAAACTTTACACAAGTGTGGTACAGGAGTCATGATGTGAATCATCCTATTTTGACTCCATCATCTAAGTTTCCAGGGGTCTATATCTGCACCGCCTCAAACAGCCAGGGCACTGCGACCAAATACTTTATCATCACCAAAGCTCCACGTAAGTTCTTGGCAGTTCTTTGTCTGTTTAAATCTTTATTTTGGGATTTGCGATTGATTTTATGTAAGAAACTTTCCCATCTCTCACAGGAGATCAAACAATCATCGCAACAATAGTCAGACTACTTGTGGCCTTTGGACTCCTGCTCTTCCTTGCTTTTCTAGTTTTTACGACACACAGAGGCATATTTTCATGCAAGAAAGGCGACTATCTCCAAGGACAACCTACCTCATCAGTACCAGTATAAAACAAATTTGAATGGGTGCATGCTTGTTTTAAAGCTGTAGCTGAAAAAATGCACCATCTTGTCAGCTATCGCTAAAGCTCCACTAATCAAGAGACTGCTGTCCAAACAAGCAAATTTAATCTAGCAGAAACGTGTTTAACAGCAACACTGTGAGTGTAAACATGTGTATAAACAAAACAGATTAATAATCAGATATCATCCTCAGCTATTCATTTATTTTAACTTTTCACTGGACAGAAATAAGAAGGAACAAATTTGCCTCTGACTGTCAACTGAAACTTTTTCTAATTCTAATTTTAGAAAACCGCTTGTGATTTTTATCAAGTCTTTACGCACGCCTGTGTTTTTCTCTCTCAGAAAACAGGAAATGCAAGACATTTTATTGCATGTTCACATCTTTTCATGTGCTCAATTTAATGTATGATCCACACACATCTTTACAACTTTTAGATATACAATAGAACAGCTTTTATTGTCACTGTTACAAGAACAATGAAAGGCTGTTTGGCGTTTCTCCATGTGTGTGAAGTACGCAATAGCATAAGTATTTACACAATCACAGACAAATTTAAATTTACACAAGAAGGATATGTACAAGTTATACATACCCCTGCAAACATACGGATACACCCATACAAACATACACGCACATACATACATATATGTATATACACATGTATGCATGCGTACATACATAAACACACATATTTCCATGTACGCGCTTACATATATACATATACATACACATATTTTTAAATGTGTAAATCAGGAAATGAGCTGACTTGTTTTCTGCACCACAAAACGGAGGAAAGTTTTATTTTTAATTTCATTGTATGCACGCTTGGTGAAAACTTGATTTGGTTCTTAATTTTGAGCAGTTTCAATGCTTAGATAAGTAAGTGTGTTTTGTTGTAATCTGTTGTTGTAATGTAATCATAAAAAAACTCATATTTGGATATGATTTTTAAAAAAATTTAATTTCATCCCCATTTCTTAAGAGGGGACAAACACTGAAATCGGAAATCTCGCTTTTAGTTCATCACAGTTTTGTCGTCCTCCGTGTCCTGCTTTTGGGTCCAGTTTCAAAATTTAATCGGTACACCCCGCCGTGACAGCTGCCTGCTGAAGTTTAGGATCTGACTGCAAAGTGTTTGACTTGACAAAAGGGATTTCTGACGTTTTTGGGCTTTTATGCCTAGTATATTTAGTCATACTGGTAAAAATACTGTAGTCACCAGGATTTACAAAGTGGTTAGGTATAAAATAAAGAAATGACCTGTTTTGCAAGTATCTTTATGTGTTTGCATTATTGAATGAATATTAAAATCAATATAAACCTTTCTGTCCACTTAAAATATATTTTTAAATCTGTGATTTTACTTTTTTTTTTTTTTTTTGCAATTTTTGCTTAATTTTAATGACCTTTTTTACTTGGATAAACAATTTTGCATTTCACTAGCGCACTCTTGTGCTGTAACTGAAGAAAAGTAAGTGTAGTAAAAATCTGTAGACCACTTTGTTCTCCTGACACACAAACTAAAATAAGCTAACTGTAGAGCATAGAAAGAAAAAGTGTTTTCATTTGCATTTATAAGATGAAATTAAATGTTTTAGAATTATACTGCAACTTCAACCTCCTGTCCCAGTATCACCAATTCACTCTGGTTGAGAAAATGAAAATCCTGTAAAGGATTAAAAGTTTCTAACATCAACTAAGGTAAAGTGTAAGTCCTCATGGCGGACAATGGGTATTAATCCATACTGCATAGCACAATTAACAACATTGCCTAAAAAAGTATAAACAGTAACAGTCCTGGAAGACACAGTTGAGCTGCTTTAGCTGATGATCCTCTCACACCAGCCAACAGAAAACAGTAGGTGGTGTTTTGTTGAGAGTGGGAGGGTCGTAACACATTTGGACATTATTCAGTCTTAGAGCTTCTGCATTTGTAAATCTTGCTCCTCTAGGTCTGTTAGCTATGTTTCATAGCAAAACATTACCATAGTGATCAGAAAAGAAATTTCACAGTAAAATCAAAGCCTAAACATTAAAAGGATATGCAAATTAATGTATCCATGCATCCAGAATACCAGCAGAGCTGAAATAATGTGCTAAATTTATCATTTTATTATTTTTAATTGTTACTATTTGACCACATGCCGAATTTAAATGTTGCTGTATCATACTATATGGCTATGTTAAGCTTTCCTGTATCATTCTAGGAAAGCCTGTGAGCACTTCCTGTCCATTAGAACTTAGCACTCCTAGAGTTGTGGTAAGGTTTGGAGACTCCTTATCAGCAAACTGCACCTCATCATCTGACCAGACTGAAGGAATGGGCGGGATGGGAGTCTTCATATGGAGGAGTGGACCTTACCCTGGGCGTCACTTCTCTTCTGTTTAAAATGGACTCTGTGCCAGCGTGGGAGATAGAAGCAATGTGTTATATGAATTCCCGTGATGGTGATCAGTGTACAAAAGTGTTACCGGTCACTGTTTATAGTAAGTAGCCTTAACTTTATCTGAGCACGCAATTTTTAGTATTCACTGAATAACATGAAAATAACATGAATTACAGTTTTTTACAGACACTAGGACGCATTTCTCAATACTTAGGTCACTTTTGCAAAACTCCTCACACAGTGAGCACAACAGAAGTCTATGTGGGC